GTAGGTACTACTTGTTCAAATTTGAAAACTCATTACTTTCTGTTCTAGAATCAAACGTAGAAAGTGGTTCAATTTTTTCAAATTGTTATCCAAATTTTACTATTTATCTAAATGATGGAGCTATTTTAAATGCTCTTACTCTTCAAATTCAAACAAAAAACTTCGATATTAATGATCGTTCAAAAGTATTTGTTATAATATATCTAATATATTACAAGCTAATGAACACTCAACTCAATATTCGTGCTCTTCGCTCATCTCCAAAGGAAGAAAGCCTTCTTGTGGAGGTCAACCATCTTCATTCAAATACCATGATTCCTAAAAGGATACCATTAACCTTCAATCAAAAGGACTTGAATGGGATTTTGAAAATGCTCAAAACCCAATTTCTCTTCCTATTCATACAACTCCAAATCAAATAATTTATTTTCCTGGTGGACATTTTAAGATGATCTTTGATTTTTGATAGCAAGATTTTCCTCAAAAGTGACTTCAGGTACACCTCGTCTTCCTGAGAGCTCTCTTTAGCACTGTTCTATAAAGTGCTTCTGTTAAGTTCTCCATGAAGCTATTAGTTTCCATCATTATCTAGAGGTAAGTAACGTAATATGGTGTAAAATGGCATAATAAATATGTACATACATAATGGTACCCAACGACATGAGTTGCTCACTTGCTCTTGCCATGAATAATATGATGGTTTTTCTTCAACAGGTGAATCTGGAAAGTCTATTAGATGGACCCTGCTGATGCTGCTGAAGCTGGGGAGAATAGGAAGAAGCCAACTTAAATGAGAGAGAGTGAACGTGGAGGACGGTTCACTTTCTTGCTGTACATTTTCAGTTTGCTTTATAGCTTGATAAATTAGATGATGCTGGTAGCATCTTTCATCCAGTTAAAATGTTTGTTGCGAATTTTTAATCTTCTTGATACAGCTCTTTGATGTAATGTTCAAGTGTATGGATTCAAAAATTTGTAATGAAATTATCAATTTTTATACAATTCCAAAATGTGTTCATAAGGAGTCATTTTCAATTTTGCCAATCAATTTGCATAAATTGTTGTTAAAAAAAACCAACGGCAACGGAATCGTTCAAAAAACGCCGCAAAAAAGGTTATTCGCAACGTTCAAAAAGCGCTGCCGTATCCGAAGACTCTACGGCAACATCACATCCCACAACATACGCGCGAACGCTACAAAAGGTCATTGGCAGCATTTTTTGACCGCTGCAAAAGGCTCTTTTTGGTGTAGTGATGGTAATCGGAGGAAAAACCTCCTGATAGTTCTGGCTTGCCGTTGAAGAACGGATTTTTCCTACAACTAAAGAGAAGGAATCTTGGCTTAAGGACAGTCTTTACTCAATGAAGAAGGGATCTTTGTTATTAAAAGATTTCCTCAAGAGTTTTAAATGCATTTGTGACAACCTTGCAGCCATTGGAAGACCAATTTTTGATGAGGAAAAAGTGTTTCAAATTTCTCATGCTCTCGGACCTAAATATGCCGATTTCAAAAATGCAATGTTGGCCAAGCCACCATTACCAAGCTTCAACCAATTTCTTCTTCCCTTACAAGGTCATGAACAAAGAACTATTGCTCAAAAAGAAGAAGAAAAAAACACTTATTGATCATTACCAAGCTTTCTTCGGTCAAAGAGGAAGAGGTTGAAATCAACGTGGAGGTCGGTTCGGATTGCGTGGAAGAGGATTTCAGAAAAACAATGGAGGAAGACATAACTTCTCCAATACAGCGCAACTTCAATAATGATTAGCACTACCATAATTTTACTAAGCAAAATGCTGAGAATCAAAAACAAGAAAATCAAACAGAACCTATTACATGCCAAATATGTGGTAAGAAAAACCACATTGCCAAAGACTGTTGGGATAGATATGACTATGTTGAGGATGATAATATTCAAGCTCTTGCTGTTATGAACATCGAGGATACAAATGACCAAAATTTTTATGTCCATACAGGAGCAACTTCGCATATGAAAAAAAACCTCAGGTAAATTAGAAAATATTTCCACTTACAAAGGCCATGATAAAGTATTTGTCGGAAATGGCCAAGGTCTTCGTATCTCTCAAGTTGGTAATATCTCTTTAGACTCTAAACATGGTCATTTGAAACTAAACAAAGTCATTGTTGTTCCTAAATTAAGAAAAATCTTTTATCTGTTAGTCAATTAACATCAGATAATAAGTGTTGTTGTTCTTGAATTAAGAAAAAATATTTTATCTATTAGTCAATTAACATCAGATAATAAGTGTTCTGTTGAGTTTACTGGTAATGATTTTGTTATTAAGGATGAGGAAAAAAAGTTTTGGCAAAGGGCACTAAAAGAAGTGGATTTTATGCTTCCATTCAAGAAATTTGTTTTTACACACACTTGGTCCAATTCCTAATTATATTGGGTAGTTAGGGATACAATTATCCTAATTGTGTATTTCTATTTCATTATACTCGCATTCTTTTGTGTAGACATTTTTGCAACTAACATAGCCTTGCACATAATGTCCATGGCTCATGTTTTCCTTTTATCCTAAAGGTCATCTTGCAATCTGTTACCTTTTGCCCTAAAGGTTCATTGTAACATCCCAAATCTAGATACCCTTGGAGGTATTATCATTTAATTGTCTATTAAAATCATAAATGTGAAAAAGCAATTAAATTTTTCGTTAACATAATAAACATCGAGAAATGTGTTAGGGAAGAACCTGAGATTTCCATAGCAAATAATTTGGAGTGGTGAGTTTGGTGGAGATTAAGCTCGCACATTGGTGGAAATTTTGAATGGTAAGTTTAGGCCCACATGTTTCATCCATGGAAGCTCTGATACCATAAAGAATTATAATCTAGAAAATATTATTTTGTGTTTTGTTACCTTTGCTATACAAACTTACATAATTTATATAAGCATGAAGCTGTTATCAAGTTTTGAAAAACAGCAAGACAAGCACGTGAATATTAAAGACTGCATTGAAAGTTGGGAGGGTGAAACAACCAAACTAGTGCTCATAAGGATGGGAAAAATATTGAAACTGATGCAATGGAATAAAGAATATTAAAGAGCTTTAACTAATTCAAATCCAACGTGAAGGCACTGCGTCAGCCTTGCATCAAGGTACCAGCACACCTCCATCCTTGCATCACACGACCTTTAGCCAAGACTCATATCGCTTAGTTAGTCACCTACGTCCACAGGTTATCTAACTTGGATTTTCATCGTTCTATGTGATCATGGTATGTTTTTTGCATTGTTTTGCATACATTGGTTTCTGGTAAGTATTCTTATCAGTATTAGCCGAGTTAGAATAAAGATGTTTGATAGGACGGTTTAAACACTTGATGTAGTGAGACACATTTCAGATTTGAAGATAAATCTTACCTCCTTGAGTACTCTTAATTTAAAATGGTACAAGTACACTTGATAAAGGAGCCCATGTTTTGTTATATGTCTTGTATAGAGTCTTTGATTAGTTAGCATATTTTAAGGACTCGGTTGGATTTGGAGTTGGATTATGTACGGTTTGAGTCTAATTTTGGGGTCTTTTAAAAGAATACATCTCAGTTGAGTTTAGCAGTTATGGGTAATGCAGCGTTGCCACCATTATCGACAGTGCCATTGTATTCAATTGCTAGCAACAGACTCATTTTTTATCAAGAACCTCTACATAGGTACAATACTGTTTAGTTCTTTTAGTTACAAATTTTGATGGAGAATTTTATTTGTGTTTTTTATTGAAGAGTTGAAGTTTATTCCTTGCAGTGAAATTTTGTCTCTATGTGAAGAATCTTAAAATTTTTGTTCGTAGTGGAATTCATATCAAGTTTTAGTGTATTGAACATACCTATCACAACATCGTTTGCAATATATTATGTGTGCACTTAAAAAAATATAAAATTATTATGCGTGCAATCTTTTCATTAGACACTAAAAACATGCATATTAGATATGTACTACCACTACTATGTAAGTACAAGACTAATACGTGCATTCTAGTATGACAACTCTACAAGAGTTATACTGCTTCACCAGGGTCACATGGGCCTTGGTAATGCCACGGGGCCATGTGGCCCCAATAATGTAGAAAAGTCCACTCTACAAATATATACTAGTGGGTCCAATCTAGTTTTTGACACCTGATTGATTGTCTTATAATATGCATGTATATGTATATGTATACACACGATTGTACTCCTAAACACGTGCACCCTGTATCAAGCATAAAGAACCTTTTTAATTTGAAGTAAAAAGGTGATTTAATCTGACATTAACTTTGACTTCTAAAAAAGTTATTGTATTCTAATTCTTTTACTTGTCCGTGTATTGACTATGGTAGGTAAACACAACCCCTCGTACACTCAAAAATGTGTGATGTACTTGTATGCTCTTCAATTAGATGATGTAATTGTAAGTAATTATTGATGACTTGTGTGCGTTGACAAAAGCACTCAAACGAGAACACGTCTTTTGAACCTTTTGTATAGACATTTGTTTAACCATGTGTCTCATAAGCCACATGAATGCATCCATATATACCTACGAACTACGAGTTCGGTGTGCACCTACGCAACAATCTTTAGTCAGAAGCACACTTTTGTATTAAATATGTGCATATCTTGTATTTAGTGTTCACTAAACCGACAATTGAATCTTTCATTGATTCTTTAATATTGCAATTTAAGCATGTGTTATTACCCCAAAGTGGCTACAAATCTTGAACTTTAGGAGAGAATGTACTCAAAAAAGTCCTTCAGGTCTTTCATCAGAATATAATAAATCAAAAATATAAATTGCTAGCTGAATAAGAAAAATCCAACAAAATAAACATATGAAAGATAATCTTTCTTATTTATGAACATACATCAAATTGGAAAAATACGCTGAAAATCCTAAATGAGAAACATTTATTTATTTATTTTTACTGCTACAGCATCATAACCTTAAAAACTCTTATTCATGGCATTTAATGATTCCTGCCACAGATCAGAAAATTCATGTCGAGGGATTGATCCAGCCTGAAGGCTGATTAGGGTTTAATGGAAACGGCCCACTGCATGGTAGTGGAGGCTGTGCTTGCGAGTGCGAGGACGATGAGTTGAATGCTGACATGAGTGATTGAATGAACTGGATATGACCGACTGCAGGCACCTGCATCTCAGGTGAATGAAGCCCAGAGGGTAATCCTGAAAACCCCTCAGAAACTGGTTCAAGAACCGGTGGAACGGATGAATACATACCAAACTGATTCCCATTGGTCATTCCACAGAGTTTTGGCAGCCCATTAATTACTGTTGTATCCACATAAGTTCTGATTAATGGCTGCGCGTTGAAAAACTGTGGAGCCGCTGGGCCACCATTGATGAACATGGAAGTATCTTCCTGTTTGATAAATTGTTGCTGATGATCAACCAGTTGAGGCTGATGGTATTCCATTGACAACCATACCGGTTGCGGCAGATTATATGCAGATGAATTCATAGATGATATGGGAAAAGAAGTCAGCGGTGGGATTAAATTAGTATTGAAATTCACCTGATCAAACCCTTGTGGCGGTGGATTACTTGGGGCTGCAGGAGGGATGTAGACTTGATCCATTTGGGCAGTTGGGATCAGATTTGAGTTAAAATTCATTAAGCTGAAGCCATGAAAATTTGTTCTCCCTTGGAAGGTGTATTCACTACATAGCGAGTAAATAAATATCTATTCATTGAGTTCTCTTTTAATATGTATGCTTATATGTCAATCTCTTATTGTTTCATGATACGCTTATTTTCACAGTTGGTAGATATTTATTCGTTCAACGTGTTATCTATTGATGGGCCAACTCAATTCTTTGTACACAATAATAAATACGATTTATTTTGTTCCCTTCTTTATTGTCTATTGGTGTACCTAACCAAAAAAAGCCCGAGTGTACGAGAATTATCATTAATTATAAATAAATAATTCTAATTAATCGCCCGAAAAATAAATTTAAATTTATAGCCTTTTTATATTTACACCCGGCTTTACATAATTAATTTCTTGTGTGTGCATTAATAATTGAAAATAAGGGAAATTTACACATTTCGTTTCCAACTTTTACAAACTGTTACTAATATCCAATCTTTCACTTAATTGCAAATTACGTCTTTCCCTCCATTTTTTCCATTAAACTTGCATATAGGGATCTTCTTTAAATAAATAAAAATAAAAGAAATCAACAAAATTGATAAAATGAAGGGCGATTGCATGAGTTTCACATCTTTCAAAATATAATGGATCCCCTTTATTAAAAAAAAAAAGCTCTCATTTTCTCCAAATAAATAAAATCTCCTCCTAAAAAAACCGACAACCAGAAACCGATTAACAAAGGCAATTCATCCAATTACCAATTAACAAAGAAGTGCTTATTTTCATCTCAATAGTTCAATGTATGACCTAACTCGTTCTCAATTATTGGTAGATTAAATGTTAATAGTACTTTAGGAGATATGTATGGCTAAGTTTCTACTAGCGATAAGAAGCATTTTCAAGCGATTACATATATTGGTGTGACTAAAAATTTGGTAAAAGTACAGATATGGCTAAGTTTCTACTAGAGATAAGAAGCATTTTCAAGCGATTAAATATATTGGTGTGACTAAAAATTTGGTAAAAGTTCAGGTAGGTCATATTATAATTCAACATTATCCTTATTAAATTCATTCATTAAACACTATATATTTATGTGTGTGTGTGTGTGATTTAAAAATTTACAAAAAGTACTATGTTAAGTACAAATTTTAATTAGCAATTTCCAAATTTATAATTGGCAATTTTCTTAATAAAAATCAAGTCATAATTGAATTGTATTAAGAGTTTATTGAGTTGTAATAGTGGGATTTAATGAGTCCAAGTTATAATAAATATAATTTGGGATTGATAATGTCCAAAAAGAAGTCAAAAGAAATTTAAGAACAAGATCGAGATTCGAACTTTAATAAGTTGATACAAAAAAGGACTCACCGATGCTCGTTGTCCACACATGTGGTGCACGAGTGCTCAAAACAGCAAGCTTGCAGCTCGCATAGCGTGACATTGGCGCTCGAGCGATAGATTGATCACTCGTTTGGCGCGAGAATTTTACTCGAACGACGGTTTGACATTCAGTTTTTCCTATTTGCATAAATCACTTAATTTTTTATCATCTTTTCATCCCAAACACCTTCACTATAAATATGCAACCCCATGAACGTCCCAAAGTGTGGTTGAACATTATTTTGATTATAGAGATCATTTTTTTAAGATCCAATTATCTTCACATTGATTCTTTGATTCAACCACAACAATGTTTGTTCATTATTCAACCCAAACATTGTTCCCATATTGGTTGAGCCTTGAAAGTCAAGAGAACATACATTCAATTCCAAATCCATAATCCAATTTCTCTTGCCTCAACCAAAGATCAAAATACGAAAGATCATTGATCAAACACCAAAGCCGAAATCCTACCATCTCTAATTCTTAATTCTAAATTCTGGAAAGAGGCGCTTGGAGTTTTAGTGCTCAAGAACGAAATGAGTTCGTTTTTGGTGATCCAACGGAGAAAAAAGTGGTCCAGAGTTCTCGAAAATACGGCGTGCACAACCAACGGAGTTCTTTGGTGATTTACAAGTGAGGTGGCTAGATTCGACTAAGGTTTAGTAGTATTTGAACTAACTATAAGTTAACATTTCTCGTGGATCGTTTACTAGCACGTTTGCCCTGAGGTTTTTTATTTAGTTTGGAATTTTCCTCCGTGATCAATTTTGGTGTTCATTATTTACTTTACTATTTTGATTTTAATGATTCAAATTGATTGAAATAGGTTTAAATGAATTAGATTACCTTAATCATTTAGAAACAAATTAATAAATGGATTGTTGCTTTTAATTGTTTAATTCCGGATTTGGATCCAAACTAATCGGTATATTTAATCTTTAAATTAGTATCAGAGCTTTTATACTCGGTCATTGACCCTATTTGTCTAGATCAATCAATCACTTTCCATTCCCCCACATTTTGATGGTAGTAATTTTGCCTATTGGAAGGTTAGGATGAGAGCCTTTCTTAAGTTTATGGATAAACGGGTTTTGGTTAGTGAACAAAATGTTGGATTGCCCCATCTACCATTGTTACAGGTGTAGTTACCCCTACAGAGGTTTCCACTTGGTCTAGGAATAATCTAGATGAAAGTAATTTGAATAGTAGAGGTATTCGTGCAATTTATATGGCTTTATCCCCTAAGGAGTTTGGACGGGTGCCCATGTGTGAGACTACAAAAGAGTCTTGGGATATATTAGAAACCACACATGAGAGAACCAAAACTGTTAAAAAATCTAAGTTCCAGGTGTTAACTATAAATTTGAGGAAATTAGAATGAAAGATGATGAGTCTTTTGATGATTTCTACGCAAAACTAAATAATATAGTCAACTCTAGTTTTAACATAGGTGAGCGAATGCCGAGGCTAAAATTGTGTGAAAAATTATGAGATCTCTACCTGAAAAATTTAGACCTAAGGTGACTCTATCTAAGAAAGAAGGGACCTAAATGCAATTAAGATTGAAGAACTTGTAAGATCTCTCCAAATATATGAACTTAGGGATAGTAAGAGATCTCCTTTTAAAAATAAAGGTGAATCTAGTACTTCTAGTAAGGATAAAACAGAGAAGAGTGATGCTAGAGATTCCCGGAAGAGGCCTTTAAGGTGTCACGAGTGTCAAGGTTTTGGTCATGTTAAACTGAGTGTCCAAGTTATAAGAAAACCCTAGGTAATCCTATAAATGTCACTCTTACTGATGACGAGTCCAGCTCTAATAATCAAAGCGAGAACTCCAATCCTGATAAGGGAGGAAATTATTTGGCGTTCACTTTTGTAGTAAGTAGTGAGTCACGTGAGAAAATAGAGAAACATGACCCCTCACAGGAAGGTCAAAAGATGAGCGTGACATTTATGAGACATTTGATGACTTATTTAAGGTGTGTGTTAAATTGAAAAAAAATAACAACGCTGCCTAAAAAAAGTAGCATAAACTTGAGTTAGAAAATGATAGTTTAGCAGACAAACTTAAGGAGTCCACTAGTAGATTTAATAAATTATGGGTAGAGAAAGTTTCCTTAGAAGTTAAGGTTCAGACTCTTACTAGTGATCTTGAGAAAATTAGTGCCCAACTTCAACAATTTACTAATGGTTTTAAGAAGATTGACAATATAGAAAGATTGAATAAACCTAATGCCTATATGACGTCATCTTCTAACGCCAAGCTAGCTCCTGCCTCTATTGGGTATAAGCAAGTAGCCCTTAAACCTAGAGTAGCTCCTAGGTTCATTCCCATACGTCATAGTTGTGGCATTTTAGGTTATATTAGACTTAAAGTGCCTTGAACCCTTAATTAGGAACAACAAACAAGATCTAAATACTCATGTTAAATTCTTTACTAATCTAGTCACTTGTCTGAGCTAATGACTCCATTGACTAAGATTATATCTTCTTCTAAGAAAGTTTGGGCCAAGAAGAGCAAACTCATAGATTAAAGTAATGTTAATTGCGATATTGCTCTTCGTAGTGAGAGCATTTATTTGCCTCATTAAGTAGGTTGTTAGGTGCATGCATCTGTTTCATTCGTGATGTTTACATAATCATGCATGCACTCTAGACTTTTTTTCTTATATATTTTTTTTTCTACATTATTTTTTAATAAAACAATATGAAAAATGGAAAAGATTTTATTAAATAATATTTTGGACATGTTAATTTGTGATCAAGTACTTGTATAATTAATGAATACTAAATGAAGTTTCCATTAGCTTTATTTAGAATATATTTGGAGTATTTGGCATAGGTTATTGCATGTATCATCTACATTGCACACATTAAGCACTTGTGAGTGGATTTTGACCTCATGCGTGGGATTTGGGATATCAAGTCATATGTGTAGTGGGTTGACTTTAATTAGAAATGACTTTTGACTAGTTGAACTAAGCTTTAAATATTTCCCATAAAAGAAAAAGGTATTGAGTTTCAAAGAAAAATATTTGAATTACTTAAGTGTTGGGAGATAATCTTATACATTTTTCGTAACTTATATGACTTGAGTGATTAAGCATGCAGAGTATTAACACCTGGTACCCTTCAAGTCATTTAACTTTGGAGTCATCCGCCTAATGCTCATTACAGAGATAATGTAGAAAGGTTAATAAAAAAGAGAATGCACATAAGATTTGAAAAATAATATATATATATATATATATAAGAGATGAAGGAATTTATTAATGTACACTCACAAATATGGGGACGAGGAAACATATATACAAAAAATCAACTATGAGCTTTTAATTGAAAATGTCCTATTAGTACTAGTTTTGACTTTCATAGATGAAAAGAATATATTCATTCACGAGTGATGTCTTTTCATGTCCTTTCTCACTGTTATAAGATTTCGAGACTTACTTACATAAGTTTAATGGCACTCTTTACACATGAAAAACTTGTGCAATTTACTTCATTCAAGTTTAAAATAAGCCATGTGGAAGAAGTTTATTTTCCATAAATTATATATGTACAAGTAATCAAATGATTGTTCATGATGTTATTTTTAAAATCTAGAAAAAATAGTTGTCCCAAACGAT